AATAAAAATGAGGAGAGCTCACACTGAAACACAGGCTGGACTTACGAACCGTCAGCAGTGTGTAACTGCACAGACTGTGACCTGTGTGTGCAGAAGGGTTTACAACCACACAAATACAAAGACGAGTTTGAGGCGTGGAACCTGCTGCAGCGTGCCCACGTCACAGCGCCGCTCCATAAAAGCTCTTTCACGTGAAAACAGCAAAAACCAGAGTAAGTGAAACGTGCAGAAGGAGCCCCGGAGCGCGGGGACGCCACAGATGTGAACAGATTTGAACGTGGGTGGATGAAGCGGAGCGACATGTTCTCCAGAGAACTTCCTGTCAGGAAGAACCACCCAGTCTCCGCCTTGTCCACCACAGCTGCTGCACACGTGCGGTACAGCGGACTTGCCCACCTTTGACCCAGAGGCCACAGGTGCAGCATTGGGTGGAGCAGCTCAGCACCAGGCTCTGACCGGGCTCTGCTGCCGCCACCTTAGGGTTTCTCCAAGTGTAGGACTGCAAAGAGGGCGGAGCACCCCCGATGGCGCCAAAGGTGTGGCTCCAGGCTGACCTCTGACCTCAAGCTCTGAGGGGACAACACCTGTTCCACATGGACAGGAGGCAGGTGGGGGGCGCTCCCTGTTAGGCACCTGAGGTCCTGCTGCTGCTGCTGCTGAGGGTCAGCTTCAGCTGCTCCACCCTGACATGCGCAGGAGGGTGATTGTACCTTAAGAATAACAAACATCGCGTGACGGGAACAATACACTCACCCGACCACGGATCAATGAGCGCACGGACCACGTGACTCACCCGAAGTCGTCGTCCACGGACTTGAAGAAAAATTTCACGTTGGGTTTGTTCAGCACGTGCTTAAAGTCCGCCAGGGTCACGCGCTCCGCGGGCACGTTGATGCGGACGAGGTAGGGGGTGTCCTGGTCCTCCAGGTGATAGATGACGCGGGTCTCCTCCGCCATGCCCGCGAGCCCGGCTTGGCGGTCACGGGATGACGCTGAGGAGACACAGCTGTGCACCTGTCCGCGCGCCCGCGTTCCGTTCGTGCGCGTCTCCGCTCCAGAGATTTCGCTCTCGGTCCAGATGTGTCGGTCCAGCTTCTGCGTGTCTGATGCTTCGTCTCCTCCTGACGCCGTCAAGACACACACACGCACGAACACACTTCCGCTCGGACCCTTCAGAATAAGAGCTGAATGAACACAGGTAAAAATAAAAAGAATATCTGGACTCTGAGAAATGATGACACATACACACCTGCACGTTATTACGTCACAACGTCAGAGGTTCAGTCTCCACGTTAAAGGTCATGTTTCTTTTGGGGCTTTTTGTTCTTAATCAGTTTTATTTATTAATTATATGTTATGTAGTTATTTTATCTTATTTTTTAAATTACGTTTACCAATTTATTTTGTAGGTCCGCATATTCAAACTCCCTGAAGGTACAGAACAAATGTCCTCGACTCAGAAACGCTTTTCTTTTTCCCGCCGTCCTGGTTGTGACGTCACGTCCCTCACCTGTATCCGGGCTGAATTCATGAGCTCACAGCTGAATCCAACCCCTGAATAAACTCGAGCCCATGACGATCGTTTCCGGCTTCCGCTGCTCGGACGAGATCAAACGAACCGCTGAATCATCCTGTAACGGACCGCTCCTCCAGCTTTTATTGTGAACGGAAGGCCTCAGAGCTTCCGGCACTTATGCCCCTTCAAGCTAACGCCTAACACGTCCGACTTTTCCGGCCTGATCTGAGAGTGAAAGCACCCATAGAGACAATCATTTTATTGTAAATCAAACACGTGATCAAACAGGAAACAGTTTCAGTTATTGACACGCTAATTCATGAATATAAATAAAAGATGCATTCATTCGGTTCTGAATTTTCTCCATGGATTCTGATTGGATATCGGTGTTTATTAAAGGGTCAGCAGTTCATAAAAACAAACGTCCATAAAACAGTAAAAACAAACAGGCAACACGAGCTCGCCCATCGGACCGGTCCGTGGGCTCGTTTAGTCAGAGGTCAGGTAAACATGAGGTTATCTTCAACATTCAGAGAGCGAGGAGGCGTTCAGTGTCGGTGGGACGTTTCAGAGCCCGGACAGACAGAAGGCCGCGTGTTCCCAGCTGCACGAAGGCAGCGTTAAGGTGATCTGCTGGTGTTCTGAGGTCCTTCAGGTGAGTCCACACAAGCGGAGGTAGAGTTTAAACACTGTCACAGAGGCTCCGCCCACACAGTGATGGGGGCAGAGACTTCAACAAGGCAAAGGCACTCACGGCGAAACCAACCAGCAGTGAGCGCACGGGCAGAGAATGAGCGTAAGGCTGAAATGTTTTTCTCACTGAATCATCAGCAAGCATGGCGTCTCCGTCCCTGCCCGGTCGATCTCTGCCCGCACAGCCTAGTCGCCGAGCGAGTTAGCACGAACGCAACCTGATTACGTGACGCCGCTCTGGTGGCGCGTTTTTGCCAGAAGCTGAGAAGAACTACCCGACCTCTGCTCTGTCGTCAGTCGCATAAAAACACTCTAGTGTCCAACCAGGGCCCTCCTCGGGGGCGCCAGACACAGGTCAAGCTTTCAAGCAGTGACCTTTGACCCACATCAACCCTTTTAAAACATCTGGAGTGAGGCTTCCTGTTGATTGTTTCTACTTCCTGTAGTCCGGGCATCACGCCGAGACGTTGACATCACGCAGAGCAATGGTGGCAGTTGTCCCGGTGGCTCCGCCAGGGGAGGCAGTCGCCACGGCAGCAGTTGGCTCCTGCGGGGGGGTGGAGCCGGAAGAGGGAGGCAGAGCGGAGCCATTCTGATTGGTCGAGCTGGTCTGGAACAGGATTTGCTGCAGCGTGCGTCTGAGGTTCGGGTGCAGCCGCCGCTGTGTCTGGTAGAAGATCTCCACGGCAACACACTTCATCACCCCAGCAACCAGGTCCTCATACAGCGGCACTGTGTACATCCTGGACGTCTGCGGAGAGGGAGGGGCAAACATGTGACAGAGTAGCTGAGCGACCCCCTTAAAACTATGTCTGTTCTGATTGGCTCAACGTCGCAACAGGCAGGTGGGCGGAACTTACGTGTTTGTGCAGGAAGGCTCGCACTCGCGGCAGGTCGGGGTAGAAGCTGTTCCTCACCACCATCTGCAGCCAGCGGATCTGCACCTCGGCGTTCAGCCCGTCAAACAGCGACGAGTACGAGTCCGACAGGCTCGCCATCACACCTGCGCAGTGACATCATCATTCATCACTGAACCTTCAGTGGACACCTGTCACATCACTTCCTGTGTTCTGCGCGGTGAGGAACATCAAGGCAGTTTCTCAACATCTGTACTTGTGCTCCGGCATCAGTCGCAGTACTGTTCCCGTCAAAGTAACAAATATAACATCAAAATATTTAAATTCAGGAGGAAGCAGTTTCACCGGGAGCAGAAACGGCGTGCTGATGCGTGGAGATCCTGAACGCTGCTCCAACAATGATCTGATTATTTGTTCCAAACCAGCTGTCTGCCCTGAGTGTTTACTAACGCTATGATGATTGGGAGACACGTGTCATGTAGTGATTGTGCTTCACTGTATGAAACAGATGATCCGTCAAAGTGCTGAAGATACTTTTTGAAATATCTTTTTCCTGAAGTAAATCTGCTGCATCATGTGTAACAGTTAAACTAAGAGGGGGTGGAGCTGTGATGTCATCACGTACACTGCCGTTCCAATAGCAGAACGATCGCGCTGTGTTCTTGGGAAGTCCGAACTCCCGTGTGAACTTATGGAGTCCAGACTAGCGAGGACGTCAGTACAGACGTGAGTACTGAGAAACGGCCCACGTCCTCGTCACCAACCATTTGCAGCAAACAGGAAGTCACATGACCCCTTTCATCAGTACTCGTATGTTTCATGCTGCGGAGTACAAATACTCGAGTACTTTGCACTCGAGCAGATTATTGCAGGCTCTGAATGATGTGTTGCAGTGTTTCTACGGCAACTTACTGTGCGGCAGCGGCGAGTGGTCCAGCATGCGGTCCAGGAAAAGGACGATCTGAAAGGTGCTCCAGGTCGAGAGGTCAAAGGTCGCGAGCGCCTCTAGGTCAGGGGGGTCAGCGTTCCTCCACAGGTCGCACAGATCCTGGACGGGCCCGATAAGAGCGCTGCCCGCTGACAGGTCTGGCTCGTAGAGAGGCGGGCCGCAGCCGCTCAGCCAACGCTCAAACTCTAGACCTGAGGGCGAGCATACACACAGGAAGTGATGTCACAGAGAAGACTAGGAGGCTGCTGACACACAGGTGAGCTGAAAGTGTCTCCTGACCTTCTCTCTTAGCGACGGCGGCATCCTTCAGCTCCGGGAAGTAAGACAGGAAGTAGTCTATGAGGTCCTGAGCCACCACGCTCTTAAACTTAAACTCTGAGATGTAATCCTGTGACACACACACGATGCAAACGCTGGTCACATGACTCTGAGCAGCATGTAAAACATCCTGATGAAATGTAAATCTATGGAAACGTGGAGCAGGAGTATGTGGACGCTGTGACTGTGAAAGCGACTCAGCTGCTGTCCACAAACAAACTGTCACTGCTCGAACACACGTGACACATGTATGACTCCAGTGTCTGTGTGACTGCGTGTGTGTCTGTCTGCGTGTGTGTGTGACTGTGTGTCTGTGTGTGTGTCTGTGTGACTGTGCGAGTGTGTGTCTGTGTGACTGTGCGAGTGTGTGTCTGTGTGACTGTGTGACTGTGTGTGTGTGTCTGTGTGACTGTGCGAGTGTGTGTCTGTGTTTGTGTGTGTGTGACTGTGTGTGTGTGTTTGTGTGTGTGACTGTGTGTGTGTGTCACGCTCTGATCTGTCTTTACCAACAACATTTTGTTCAGCGCTCTCGTTATTAAAAGGAAACTGAAAGGACGTGTTTCATTCTTCAGTCTCGTGTCTTTGCAAAGCTCAACTCTTCCATCAGACTTACTGTACATTAAAAGTTCTGCAGAGTCAGCAGATGGAGCAAAAACACAAACACACTGATGACTGCCGTGTGTTTCTAATAGGCATCGTATTTAAAGGAAGGTTTGTTGCCTCTATGTTTACTTACATCAAACCTGTGGAAACACTATGGCTGCATCATTTTAACATTTTTTTAGTCCCGCCCACTCTGTGTCAACAGTCTAGCTCCGCCCCTGTGTTGGACCCTCTGAAGAAATGGTAAATGGCCTGTATTTGTATAGCGCTTTACACTACATTCAGTCATCCAGTTACCATGGCATGGTCATCTGAGCGAAGGCCACGCGGCTCTTCTGTCCTCCTGATAGGCTGGCCACCGGCCTCGTGGCCAACTCCCCCGTGATACCGTAACCTCCCAGCTGGTGGCGGTACTCCTCCTCGGTCCGACCTGCGATGCAAACGCAGCAGCCCATCAGAGCGCGACGTGGAGCTGCCAATGGTATTGTTGATGGCGCTGTTGCTATAGTTACCGGGGAACTTGTTGAGGAGCAGCTCCACAGAGCAGACGTTCAGGTCCAGCTGGTCCACATGGTGCTGACTGAAGTAACCGATCTTCAAGTTCCTGAGGCGAAAAGATGAGCAGCAGGCATGTTTAGATTAGCGAGCGCGTCTCGATTATCAGCACTCGCTGACAATCGCTCCGAGCACGAGCAGATCCCACAAACAGCGCATGAACAATGGCGCGTCCTCAGTCTGAACCCGCAGGCCCGATAAACAGAACGGAGCACTCGGAAACAAAGAATGAAACAGGTGCAAAGGCTGGAACACATCACAGGTAGAAACAGGAAGAGGAGGAGCCAAGAGGGAGAAAATGTTAAACCTTCCTAAAAACAGCGCAGGCAGTCCCTTAAAGAGCGAGTGGAGAGAAAGAAAGGCTTCCTGCACAGTGTACAGAGATCCAATAAGATGCAACCAACAGACCCCTCTGCTCTGATTGGTCCACTGGTCGTCTTACCTGTGAGCCTGCCTGACTCCGTTGACCGGGGTCAACTCGCCCATCAGCAACTTGAGGACGGTGGTTTTACCAGCACCGTTTTCACCGACCTGCCGAGAAACACAACAGCCCAAACAGCGAGCTGATTAATGACTGCACTTCCTGTTGTACCTCTGAATCATGTCTCACTCTGCATAGGCGCCCAGTGCTCACTTCCTGTCTGAGTACTGATATCTGTGCATGCCTCTTTGAGAACTCATCTTAGTCAATAATTAGTTTGTAATTGCTGCATCACACCACCCGGTGGAGCCACCTATCGTGTTCAGGAGACGCTCGCCAACGTTTGTGTCTGACGGTACAGTGCAGACCTGACGCTCTGCGGCCTGTCAGTCCATCCCTGAGCTAACAAGCTAACCTGGAGCCATGCCAGCTAAGCCAGCCACACCTGAAGGTCTCTCCACTCGCACAACGCTCTCTGCTGACTCATTGCCGTCAGCTGTAAAGCACTATACGCTGACCGTGGCGACACCGTGAAGTCACCATGGTGATAAGACCGTGAAGGTCACGACACAGTGCTGTCACACATACGATGCAGATCCGAGAGTCGAGGTCAGCTGACAGGTTGAGTCCGGAGAACAGCGCCTGGTCTTTACTGTAGTAAAACTCGACTTCATCCAGCTGCAGGATGGGCGGAGATAACTTCTCAAAGTTATCTGGAAACCTGAAGCGACACACAGCATGTCAGCTAGTCCAAGCTTTACTGCCACAGTGATCATTGGGGGTCAGAGGTCATCTTCTTACCTGAGCGTGACTTCAATTTCCTTCTCGATGGGCTTTAGCTCAGGTCTGCGGGAGAAAGCAAGCATTAGCTTACAGACAGGCAGCACAGACACCAGATCAAGGCGAGGAGGGCGAGGAGCACTCACAGCTTCTCCAGGAGTTTGAGTTTACTCTGCACCTGAGCTGCTCGGTTAGCGTTGTACCGAAATCTGTCGATGAAAACCTGAAAGACACACAGCAGCCGTTCACCAAAACTACATCAGCTCTGTGACACAGAATCACCTGACAGACAGTCTGTGATTCAAGCTGTCTGTGAGCAGCACGTCCTACAGACGCACTGAGTCACTGACATGAAACAACGAAGAGACACCAACAAGGCAGGCATACCGTGGAGCACCTGTTTGTACCCGTCTGTACTGTCTGTACCTGTGTGTGCCTGTCTGTATCTGTGTGTACTGCCTGTACCTGTGTATATTGTCTGTACTGTCTGTACCTGTGTGTACCTGTGTGTACCTGTGTGTACCTGTGTGTACCTGTGTGTACCTATGTGTACCTGTGTGTAACTGTGTGTACTGTGTGTACCTGTCTGTACTGTCTGTACCTGTGTGTATTGTCTGTACTTGTGTACCTGTGTGTACTGTCTGTACTGTGTACCTGTGTGTACTGTCTGTACCTGTGTGTACTGTGTCTGTACCTGTGTGTACCTGTGTGTACTGTCTGTACCTGTGTGTACTGTCTGTACCTGTGTGTACCTGTGTGTACCTGTTTGTACTGTCTGTATCTGTGTGTACCTGTCTGTACTGTCTGTACTGTGTGTACTGTCTGTATGGGTGTACCTGTGTGTACCTGTCTGTACCATGTGTGTACCTGTGTGTACCTGTGTGTACCTGTTGTACTGTCTGTACCTGTGTGTATTGTCTGTACTTGTGTACTGTCTGTACCTGTGTGTATTGTCTGTACTGTGTACTGTCTGTACTGTCTGTCTGTACTGTCTGTACTGTGTGTATTGTCTGTACCTGTGTGTACTGTGTGTACCTGTCTGTACTGTCTGTACCTGTGTGTACTGTCTGTACCTGTGTGTATTTGTCTGTACTGTGTGTATTGTCTGTATCTGTGTGTATTGTCTGTACCTGTCTGTACTGTCTGTACCTGTGTGTACTTGTCTGTAAGTGTGTGTATTGTCTGTACCTGTGTGTACTGTCTGTACTGTGTGTATTGTCTGTACCTGTGTGTACCTGTCTGTACTGTCTGTACCTGTGTGTATTGTCTGTACTTGTGTGTACCTTTTTGTACCTGTGTGTACTGTCGTCTGTACCTGTCTGTACTGTGTGTACCTGTGTGTCTGTCTGTACTGTCTGTACCTGTGTGTACTTGTCTGTAGTGTGTGTACCTGTGTGTATCGTCTGTACTTGTGTGTACCTGTCTGTACTGTCTGTACATGGGTGTACCTGTGTGTACCTGTGTGTATTGTCTGTACCTGTGTGTACCTGTCTGTACTGTGTGTACCTGTGTGTACCTATGTGTACCTGTCTGTACATGTGTGTACCTATGTGTACCTGTCTGTACTGGGTGTACCTGTGTGTACCTGTCTGTACATGGGTGTACCTGTGTGTACTGTCTGTACCTGTGTGTACTGTGTGTACTGTGTGTACCTGTCTGTACTGTGTGTACCTGTCTGTACTGTGTGTACTGTCTGTACCTGTCTGTACTTGTGTGTACCTGTGTGTACTGTCTGTACCTGTGTGTATTGTCTGTACTGTGTGTACTGTCTGTACCTGTGTGTACTGTCTGTACTGGTGTACCTGTCTGTACATGGGTGTACCTGTCTGTACCTGTGTACCTGTCTGTACATGGGTGTACCTGTCTGTGTATTGTGTGTACCTGTGTGTACGTGTGTTGTTGTACCTGTCTGTACTTGTGTGTACCTGTGTGTACCTGTCTGTATGTGTGTACTGTGTGTACCTGTCTGTCTGTGTATTGTGTACCTGTGTGTATTGTCTGTACCTGTGTGTACTGTCTGTACTGTCTGTACTGTCTGTTTCTGTCTGTACCTGTGTGTACCTATGTGTACCTGTCTGTTACTGTGTGTACCTGTGTGTACTTGTCTGTGAGTGTGTGTAACTGTGTGTATTGTCTGTACTTGTGTGTACCTGTGTGTACCTGTGTGTACTGTCTGTACCTGTCTGTATTGTCTGTACTGTGTGTACCTGTGTGTACCTGTCTGTACTGTCTGTACCTGTGTGTACTGTCTGTACCTGTGTGTACCTGTCTGTACCTGTCTGTACCTATGTATACCTGTGTGTACTGTCTGTACCTATGTGTACTGTCTGTACCTGTGTGTACTGTCTGTACTTGTCTGTACCAGTGTGTACCTGTCTGTACTGTCTGTACCTGTGTGTACCTGTATGTGCTGTCTGTATTGCAGCTGGGCCTCGTACTCTCTCTGCTGGTTCTTCAGTCGGTCCTCTTTGGTTTTAATAAAATTTTCGTAGTTGCCGCGGTAACTGTCAAGCCTCTGGGAGTGCAGGTGGATGATGTCTGTGACCACGGCATTCAGGAAGTTTCTGTCGTGGGAGACGACCAGGATGGTGGACTGCCAGGTCTGCAGGGGAGGGATGACTTATGAGGTTAGTGCAGCTGAGATAACCGACGCAGCCTGCCTCGTTCACTGACACCACCGCACAAACGTTTTAAACCTACAGTCTGAATATGGCCACGCCCCAGTTTCTCCTCATTAGGAAGCAGGCTGACCTGTTTTCATCAATGTGGTCTGAACACGTCCAGCATTAACACTGAGTGACAGGGATCGTTATCAGGACGTGAGGTGACATCGTCAGGATGTGTAAACAAACTGAGGTGAGAAGAATCCATGTGTGAGAGAAACACTCACGCACACGTCTGTGAGCGAGGCCGCTGTTTGCAGAGAGAGGCTAACCTTACCTGCAGGTAGTTCTCCAACCACAGAATAGCTCTGACATCCAACATGTTGGTGGGCTCTGAAACACAAAACATGGAGAATACGTCACAGACCACCTCCTCCCATCACAGCTGCAGCGAGGGAGGAGGACTGACTAGAGCAGCAGGAGAGAGCGAGGACTGAGAAAGATGAGGGAGACCAGAGAGAGAGAGAAACTCAGTGGAGCATCGATGCTGTAGTATCACTGCTGTGTACCTGTGTGTTTGTGTGTGTGTGTACTGTGTGTGTGTGTGTGTGTGTGTGTGCTGTGTGTGTGTGTGTGTGCTGTGTGTGTGTGTGATGTGTGTGTGTGTGTGTGCTTGGTGTGTGTGACTGTGTGTCTCGTGTGTGTGACTGTGTCGTCTGCTGTGTGTGTGACTGTGTGTCTCTGTGTGTGTGTCTGCTGTGTGTGTGTGACTTGTGTGTGTGTGTGTGACTTGGTGTGTGTGTCTGACGTGTGTGTGTGTGTGTGACTTGGTGTTGTGTGCTGTGTGTGTGTGTGTGTGTGTGTGTGTGTGTGTGTGTTGGTGTGTTGTGACTGTGTGGTGTGTGTGTGTGCTCTGGTGTGTGTGTTGTCTGTGTGTGTGTGTGTGTCTGTGTGTGTGTGTGTGTGTGTGTCTGTTTGTCTGTGTGTGTGTGTGTGTGTGTGTGTGTGTTGTCGTGTGTGTGTGTGTGTCTGTTTGTGTGTGTGTGTGTGTGTGTGTTCTGCGTGTGTGTGTGTGTGTGTGACTGCTGGTGTGTGTGTGTGTGTCTCTGTGTTGTGTGTCATGGTGTGTGTGTGTCTTGGTGTGTGTGTGTTTGGTGTGTGTGTGTGTGTGTCTTGCGTGTGTGTGTGTGTGTCGTGTGTGTGTGCTCTGGTGTGTGTGTGTGTGACTTGGTGTGTGTGTGTGTGTGTGCTCTGCGTGTGTGTGTGTCTGTGTGTGTGTGTGTGTGTGTGTGTGTGTGTGTGTGTGTGCTGTGTGTGTGTGTGTGTGTCTGTGTGTGTGTGTGTGTGTCTCTGTGTGTGTGTGTGTGTGCTGTGTGTGTGTGTGTGACTTGTGTGTGTGTGTGTCTGTGTGTGTCTGTGTGTGTGTGACTGTGTGTGTTCTGGTGACTGTGTGTGTGTGTTGGTGTGTGTGTGTGTTGTGTGTGTGTTACTGGTGTGTGACTGTGCTGTGTGTTGTCTCGCTGTGTGTGTGTGTGTGCGTGCTGTGTGTGTGACGTGTGTATGTCAGTGTGTGTGCCTGTGTGTGCGTGTGTGTGTGTGTTGGGTCTGGTGTGTGTGTGTTGTACCACATTGTGCTGCGTAAATTCTGATTTGTGTGCATTGCACAGACCACATCAGAGTGTCACTATAGTCTCAGAGACACATTCCCGTGCTAGCATACAGAACATATTTTATGACATCATTACACAGTTACTCAGTTTTTTCTTTCTCACCAGTTGACAAACGTTATTCTGTGTGTGTGCTTTATTTAACTTGTATTTTTGTGTTAAATGTGAACTTTTGTGCGTGTTTGTGTATTTTCTTTTTCTTTTTTTGTTTGTTTTTTTTTTTTTTTTTGCTGTTTTTAAATTTTGGTCATTGTTTGCAGTTTTTGTTTTTTTTGAGACTTACTGCGTGTGTGTTGTGGATAGCATGTGTCTTCCCTTATGGGCGCGTAGTGTGTTGTTACAGAGTTCGTCATAGTTATAAGTGATGTTACTACTGCGTGTGGTGGTACAGTGTCCCATGCTGCTGGGTAGTCTCTTCGGTGTTGGTGTGTCCACTACGAGGTCTCCACACACACTACAACTAGAGGTGCGATAAGCTCCCTGTCTGTCGTTGTGTGTGTATCTCTCCCACAGAATGACAGCGACACACACAGGAGGACATCCACAGTTGTTGACACAGAGACACCACACAGAGTCATAATGTGTCTCTGTCTGGCGTGTTGTTGTGTGGTGTGTGTCCGACACATTCCTGCGCAAGTTGTGTTAGCTAGGGTGACCTCTTCTGGGCGTGTGTGTGACAGGTCACTACAGCACATCACACCCACTCCATACACACTGACGTGTGTGGTGAGCTTCACTACAGTTCAACACCATCTGTGGTGCTCCACACACTCTCTGCGTGTGGTCGACACTACACGTGTGGTCAGTGTCTCCGTTCTTCGCGCATTAAAGTAAACACGATGGTGACACTTCCAGGGAAATCAACACATTTCTGCGTCTCACACAGAGCTGTGACTAAGCCATATTTCTAGGCGTTGTTGTTTTGTTGTGTTGTGTTCTCTGGCGGTGTCAGCAAAAAGTGTGGTGTCTATGAGTCAATCAGGTCTGCGTGTAGTGTGTGTGTCACCACATTCCTCATCTTCCTCCCTCTTCTGCATCCTGCGTGTAAGTGTGTGATTGTTGTCTCTGCGTAACTATGGGCTTGAAGTTTGGTGTCCATGGTAAGTCAAGGACACAGGACAACACCATTGTTGATGGTGTACAGTGATGACGTCATCTGTTCTATAAGAGGAATCCTTAGCACGATCTTGCGGCTCAGGACACCACAGAGGAGGGTCACTAAGGACAGACCAGAAGAGGACCACACAGGTGCGGTACATGAGAGACTCTGGGAGACAACCAGGTACCCATGTGTTAGACAGACACGACAGTGATACTTGTGTGACAGTGCACACTCCGATGCGCCGACATTGTAGTCACAGCGGTAGGTGAGAGAACCCTTACTGAAGGGCGTCTGCCT